AAAAAAAAAAAAAAAAAAAAAGACCATTTCCATTTTAACCTCCTTTCTGAACATTCTTGAAAGAACCCAACAAAATGCAGAATTAAATTGTCTGCCATACAGTTAACCCAGCAGCCTGCTGGCTCTGCTGAGAAGGCTGGCCCTCCATATGTCTGGGAACTAAGACTCGGAAAGGTTAAAGAGCAGCCCACAGGACCTAAATGCTGCCAGTGTTTCCCACAAATACCTACTTTCCTCGCAGTGATGGAATTCAGCTGTGTGCAAGGCAGGAGCAAAGGCCAGTCTCAGATGAGCTCACCTGCCTGGCCATACCTCACTGCACGGTCAGCAAGACACCCCAGGCACCCTACAGGAAAGGATTCCTTGAATCCTATGTCCAATCCCCCCGCAGCTTCTCCCCAAGTGCCTTCACCCATTTTGCCTTGTATTCTCTGTACTAAGTCATGCAACTGAGTCCTGCTCCAGAGAAACACTGAACCTGGGAGTCGTGGGGATCCCATCCACCCAAGCAAACTAAAGTTAGTGTTACTCTTGCCTCCTCCCTTGACCCTCTGGTAAAAGGACTAACTGCTGTGTATCCGCAGTAAACCTATCTAGGATAATTAGACATTGACCTGACAGTCACACGCATTACCTTCTATCTCTTTCCATTCGGTTATGCCTCTCCCTACGCTGAGACCTTCCTCCCTGGGGCCCGCTCTGGGTCTGCTCCCCCAGGTTTGATTGTGAGGACTCCGAGGACTGCCAGGCGCCCTGTGTGGCTGTAGAGCCTTCGCCCACATTCTGAATCTCTCCAAGGGCTCTTCGTTCTATACTTGTGTCCAACTGACGTATTCTACTCCGATTCCTCTTATTTATTGCTTGCTTACATAGCGCTTCTTCTTTGCAAAAGAAGGAAAAAATGGGATTTCAATTTTTTAGCCTTCTTATCTTGTCCCCATTAATGTAGAATGTATTTGGGAGCTTTTAAAGGCAGAAACGTTACTGGTTATGCAGCAGAGAACAAACCACAAGCTGTGGCAGCAGGGACTTCACATACAGCAGCACTGCACTCCTCGCCCACCTCACACTGAAAAACTAAGCCCGAATCTCAGACTGGAAAAGGATTATCTTCCTCAAAAAATACTCTTTTTATAACACAATTATTCTAAAGTAACAACTACAACTTTACTGCAGCACGTAGAAGACACAACTTAGCGGCTTAAGATTAAATATGCCCTCACCATGAAGTGTTTCTCCCCAAAAATTGAATGATGTCATGATTTTTATGTCATGTGCAATGTGCACATGCTTCAGAAACAGGTCAGATTCCAAGCAAACACAAGTAGGCATCTAACTAGTACATGTGTAGACATACAATCCCATATGCCATTAAAGCCCAGGGATTATACATACAAATTTGAGAAAGGTGTAAACAGTTTTGCTGGTATTTTCTTCCTTAACCTTGTTAGTTAACACAGGTACCATTTCAGTGCTCATCTGTATTCTTTGGATTTTTTTTTTTTTGGCATAAAATGCCTGAATAGTAAAAGAAATGGCTGAGGTGGAGAAAGCAACAGCTCTCTATCCCGTCCCACCAACTTGTCAAAAGCTTAGTGTAACAGAGCCAGCTAACTGTAATTTGAAAATCACTTTTTCCTAGAAAGTAAGGGACCGACGGCTAATTTTCTGGCTCTCAGTCTAGTTCCTGACCACCTGTGGTATCTTCCCATCACGCATCTCTCCTGTGCCTTTCAAATCCCACATCAGAGTATAAAACAAAATAAGCTATAAAGTGCTTTGGGTAATAAACACAACTGAAATTTATCTGAGTCTGTTATTTAACTTCTAAAAAATCCTCAAATTCCATGTTTCCACACTAAGGTGAATTAGGGTGTTTAAAATTCAAAGGAACAGGTCAGTGAGTTAGCTCAGCAGACTAAGCACCTGCTTAGGTAAGCGCAGGGACCAGGACTCAATCCCTGGCATGCGCCACGCTGGCCCACCCCCAGGTGTGCTGAGCAGGCCACCGAGTCTGGGCAAGGTGGTACACGCGTATAATCCTAGCACTAGGGGGGGCTGCAAACAGGAGGATAACTACAAGTCTGAGCTGCATAGCGAGATGCTGTACCAAATACATGTAAAAAAATAAAATAAAATTGAAAAGCATGTTCAAAGTGAGATGTTGGGAAGAGGGAGTAAGGAGGAACTTGGAGACATGCAAGACTGTTTGGTAGGTACAAACCGCCTCTTTCTCCTGCTCCTCATGGATAAAAAGGCCTGCAGCTGAGACTCAGGCAGGAAACCTGCCCACCACCCACTGCTTTATGGCTTACCTCCCACTTTAATCCAAACCTGCTCAGGCAAAGTTTTGTTTCTGCTACCTAAAGTCTGTTTTGTAGATTCGATCTCTTGCTGATAACAGAAAGAAAATGCCCTTGGCAGTCCAATATCCTGGTGCTTGGCAGCTTCAAGTACAGAACATGAATTACTGGAACTCTAGAAAAAATAAGTAACAGGGATTTTATCAGTATGTAGCTTAATCTGCTATTCCCGGCATAAGTAAAAATATGCTTGACAGAAGTAACGTCAAAGCTATCGACAGCATTTCAAGGGCATTTATTATAGTCCCAAACCATACACTATTCTTTCAATTTTAAAGGTTATTAAAAAGTTTCATGAAAGAAAAAAATCCTGAGACCAGAGAGAGAGCTCAGCAGAAAAAGTGCTTGCCTGGCAAGCACAAGGGCCTGAGTTCAATCCCTGGTTCCACAAAAAAAAAAAAAAAAAAA